GGAAGTGGGAGACAAGCCAGCCGGGAACCCGACCACAAGCACCCAGCTTGGGAGACAAATGAAAAGAAGTGGAAGACAAATCCACAAGCACCCAGCCTGGGAGACAAATGAAAAGAACTGGGAGACAAATGAAAAGAAGTGGACGTGCAAAACAAATGAAAAGAAGAAGCACCCAGCCTGGGAGACAAATGAAAAGAACTGGGAGACAAATGAAAAGAAGTGGGAGACAAATGAAAGGACGTGGGAGACAAATGAAAAGAAGCGGGAAACACATGAAAGGAAGCGGGAGACAAGCCAGCCGGGAACCCGACCACAAGCACCCAGCCTGGGAGACAAACGAAAAGAACTGGGAGACAAATGAAAGGAAGTGGGAGACAAGCTGGCCGGGAACCCGACCAGACCATCCAGCACCAAGGCGACCATTCTTTAAAGCATTGAGAACCCCTAACAGTAAACTGTTTGGGGAATAATAAGTATAATAGAAAATATAGTATAGATATAATATAATATGCATGCATTCCCTAGTGCATTCTATATATCCCAGACACGACTAATGGGACTGCCATATATGCCGATCAGTTGTTGTGGTTTCAATGGGGCGGCAGTCCGGCAGTCCCACAGGGAGTGTTGGTATACAACTCTTACCGACTCTTAAGGACGTCCAGAGCCCTCGGTCCGGTCAGCGGCCGGAGGTCGGTCGACGCCGCAGGTGGCGGCCTTGGAGGAGACCCTGCAGTCCTATGGAATGCTTCTCCGGAAAGCCCGGGAGGCGACGCGTGTTGGGCCAGAACCGCCGGCGCGTGAGGTCAGGGGGAACCTCCGGAACCGAGGGCTGAAGGAGCTTGTTTGGAGTGTACGATCTGAAGGAGCCATGCAAGGGCTGCAAGGAAGCAGCTGAGTGGCGCCCAACAAGGGCCAACCAGAAACACCTTTATACCTGATTTCAGAGCAGAGGGATTCTCCAATAGGAAGCGCCAAATCGATCGAAACAGAGTTTTTTTCTGGATCAACTCCCCGGACCTTTAATGTCCAGTCCAAGACAAGTTGATTACATTCTACGACCGTCGGAGATACTGGAGTGATCCCCAATGAATTTTTTGCACGGTCAAGATCAGGTTTATTTCGACAAAGGCTGACTTAACTCCCACCCAAAACAGGACGTGCTTTGCTTACATTTGGCGGTGGCTTTAGAGCCGCGCGCGCTGGCCAAAAGATGGATACCGTGAGTGGCCCTATGTCTTCCATTTCCTCCCTCTCGACTCTCAACTTCTTTAATCTTCTTTATGTGTTTAAAATGTAACAACTTCTACCAGCAGTCACAAAGGGCTGCCGAACTTGGAGGATAGGGGTGCCCTTGTCACATCCACGGCCCCTGGATGGGACTAGAATCTAGAAACCACCCAACTCCAATGTGACTCCTGGTATATACAACTATCTAGGTGATGGTTTGGGATATTGGTATGTTCAACCCTCTGACTAATTGGATGATTTTCAACCCGCTGACTCATATTTTTCGGGTTGAAAACACCTAACCAAAACACTCCGCAGGTGCCTCTGGGCGCCCTGGGCCTCCGTGGGCGCCTGGACGAGCTTCGCCGCGGCCGTGTCCCGCGCGTCGGACGCGCGCGCGGAGGGTTCCGTGCGGCGGCAGACGTGGAAGGCAGTGTTCCGGAGGAGAAAGCCACGGACGGTGAAAGCCAAGGGTGGTGAGGTATTTGGGGAAAAGGATCAAGAAGCGTGCTTGATTGCCAGTCGAGCTTCAGGAGCTTGATATATGGGTGGGGTATATGTGGTGAGGTGCTTGCTTGAAGATGCTTGAAGTTTTTTTTCTCTTTCTTTTTGAGGGGGGGAACATTCATTCCGCAGGCATATGTTTTGGCATGTTATTTTTTTTGTGGGGAGAGGTGAGTGATTGCTTGTCCAGGGTAGTTTGGTTTTGGGCAGAGAGGACAGGTCTCGACTCCCAGACAAACGAGGTCTTATGTTGTAGACTATGGAGGTGGCTGTGGCTGCGCTAGTGGACGTCGCTCAAGAACATCCAAGAACATTCGTATGCAGGGGTTGTTTTGAAGGTGTTCCACATATATGGTGTTGTCTTTGTTTTAACTTGTGAGTAGGGAATGATGGAATGGATCCAAAGGACTCTCTATTGGGAGCTCATTCCCTGAAACTTATTCCCTACGAGTCGCACCAGTCAGTGTTGCGTGTCCACAAGGTCATGTTGATGAATCTATACAATTCTCCTTGGTTGCCCAATGGGTATACTGTAGGTGTTGGACGAATTCATCGTCCTGCTCAGTACTCTTGGGATCGGGGATCGAAGAACGATTGAGATCCATTGGACTTTGCAGTGAAAGAAACGTATGGATGGTCTACCCAACTACTACGCAACTACCTGGTCATCCTGGTTCATGGTCTCAAACCTTGAACATACTTCATCATGGTGATAGAAGAACTGACAAGGTCACAGTTTTCGGGATGTTTCGGGGTAGCTGTGGCCATCTTGGAAGATCGTGGAAAATTCTTGGGGTGGGGCTTAAGTCAGAGATCAAAGTGAATCAGTCTGACTGGTCCTCATCGGTGGGACAGCGGCACAGCTTTTGCATGTGACAGAAGCCCGCAGGTGAGACCTTATTGTACTGTGCTGGATGAAAAACAATCCAATACATTATGCTCAAGTCAGTGTGAATACATACAGTAAGTGTTTTCGTGATGTTTTCGTCAACTTCTCGACTCTGCCGGGCTTACTCTTCCTGATTTATCCAAACGGTTAGACCAAAACTGCGTATGAGCCGATGACCTGTGAGATGACTCGAGCTCAGTGTTTTAGCCCTCGCGAGACTTCGAAGTTCGGTGTCACTTGATGCCCGGTTGCTTACATCGAAAAACGACAGAAATTGATGGGGATGACCACAATCCATGACAAGTGAATCATCTCCACGAGCACATGCCTGGAAATGCTTGTCATGGCCGTCAGAAAAAGCGTGGGCCTGAAGGCGAAGGCTTTGATGTGCTGACGGGGTCTAACGGTGCATTCGGCTTTATGAGCATCGTCGTGTGGTCCGCAGGGTCCTCGTGCTAGGCAACCCTATGCTACGGGGCTCTGAACTTTCTGGCCCTGCTGCTCAAGCACAGCGGCCTGGCCATTTTCACACTTGGGTGGGGGTGGTGCTTGCAAGGCTTGCAGAGCAACTTAGTGGGTGCATGATTGTTGGTGCCACCAGTTGGTTTCCTTGTGGCAGCTCACTTTCAACCCATCGTGTTGAAGCCATTCCATTGGTTGAGCCAAGTGGGTTTCCGATTTAGTTCTTTTGCGTGGAACAGTCGAAGCAGGGCTCCTCAGTTGATACGTCCGTATTGCGAATTTGGACACGAGTCACTTGCTGGCTATGGGGGCAGGATGTTGCTGAGTGCTAAGCTGTTGAACAGGTTTGGAACAACACTTGAAAAGTTGAACAGAAACAGGTGGAAAAAACATCACTTGTTTTCCAGGGCAACCCCACTTGCGTCCAAATCATGATTCAGGTGCCGTTGCCACCATCCACAGGTCATTGGCAACTTGGTGTTCCTTCCGTTTGCGTTTGAGAAGAGGCAAAGGGAGGGGCATGTGGGAAGCACCATTTTGTGCGACTGGAAGGTTCAGTGATTTGTTGATTGGTGTGGGAACATGGTTTAGGTGCTCCTGGTTTTTCCACATTGTGTGTATAGTACTTCATGTCCACATCACATCACATCGAAGGATACCTCTACCTGGAGAAAATGGTTGTGAAAAACACATCTTTAATTCAATGGTTCCTGCAGTAGGCAGGATTGCACATGTTTGTTTGCGGACGTTTGTGCAAAAACAATAATTGCACCAATTGGTTTGATAATGTTTGAGATTCCATAGTTATTTTTCAGATGATTAATTGGTGCATGCATGTGTGTGTGCCCCTTGTAGTCACAGGGATTATTTGGAAGTGTAGTTTTGAGCAGGGGGGCACAGGAGGCCCATAGAGCTGTGCCCAACGAAGCTCTCTATGGTGACCTCAGGATATGCAGCCTGATCAGCTGCACGTACCTGCTGAATTTTAACATTTGCCGAGTTAGCTTCTGCAGTCACGCACGCAACGTCGTCATCTCGCCCTGTTCGTCGTTTTCGACCTTACGCTTTTGGCCTCACTTCCTCTTGAAGACCCCCAGGATCCAGGTACTCTTAGGCATTGGAACCCTAGGCCGGCGTGTGGCACCGCTGTCGAGTCAGTACGCATATCCATAAGTGTGTGTGTGTGTGTTTTGTTTTTGTTTCTCAAAAATGTACTTGCGTTATCGATCCCTGTTGCAACCTGGGATGGACCGCTCCAACTCTTTTGGACACTCACACGTTTGTGATCCCTCCGTGTGGTTCAATGATATTTAATGTGTGTGCGTGTGTTTAAGAGACACCTACCAGGATATCCAACATTTGTGCATAGTGCATCAACTCAATCATTGCACTTATGGTCGAAACATGTGGTTTCAAGGCTTCTTAGCTGAATGGTATCCCGCATATGTTTGACGGTTCGGTTGCTATGTAGGTAGTGACTGGGGGCCTGATGGTGTATCGTACGTGCCGGATGTTGTGCTGTTATACAGCGAGCCAGTCTTCGGCGGCCGTGCCACAAGAACAACCCCCAAACGGTCGGTGGTTTCGAAGAAGGATGCCGGTATATTTGCGATATTTGCGATATTTGCTTCGTGTTTTCCTCTAGACTTGGAGGTCTAAAGTTAATTTCCTGAAGGTTTCGGGACTTGGTTTCGATTTTACCGTCCTTGTCGACGGATTGGACAGTCCCCTCTTTGAACTGGGCAGGTCGGATCCTGACGAAGTGGGGCTGGACCAAAGCAGCTTCAGCTGTGCGCTGCGAGTCAGAAAACGACATGCGGTGCAACGACAGTGCTTGGGAAGCTGCCCTTAGAGTGTGGTTTGGTCTGAAACAACACCAACAAAGACTTGGTTTGTGAAAGTTTTGCCATTTGTTTGTCCTTTTGCTCTACCAGTGATTTTGTGGTTGGGAAAGCACCAATCGAAGCGTAGAGCTCGCAAATGACTACGACTATCGTGCTGGGCTGGGTGTGCCACCTTACCACCAAAATGGTGCCACCGCAAGCCCACAGACAAGCGTAAAGTCACCAAGGAGATGTGGCTTGCTTGGTCTTGCTTGTGTTCCAGACAGATGAATGTTGAAGCTCTCCAAATCCCTTTCGAAATCAGTCGAGGCGGGAAATCTGTCAAACTGTTTTTGTTGAGACCTCATGAATTGCAAGAGTTGGCGAGACAGACAGCTGTCACCGGATCTGACTCGCCAGTCAACTGCTCGCATCGCCAGAGGCCGTGGGCTTTGTGTGTTTGTTCGGGAACCGGAGGCGGAAATGGATCAAAGTCCTTCACAGAAGGTCCAGAAATATCCAAACACTCAGTACCTGGCTGATTTGCGTGGGGGGGATAAATAAAGCAGTTCTTATAGAATGGTCTTGGAAGAAAAGCACCAGCTCACCAGCCTGTTTCTTCGAAGTTCGCCATGGACCGACACGGGGAGCCAAGGGAGCCAAGGAGCCACGTCTGACGTCCTTGGACCTTCGCAGTTTCATCATGTCAAGGTAGAGCGAACGATGGAAGAATAGTGGAACATAGTGGAACAATTTGGCTAGAGCCATCATATGCCAGTACTTAGAACATCTTAGAACCGATATGTCCTGCGATGTGGTGGACCTTGGATCATGTGGGATCCAATGTTCAAGTTGTCAACCGCGGCGTATGTTGGCGTGTTTGAAGCTTAAACCCCCATTGGGAAGATGTTGAAGGATGGCCAGCGCCCTCAAACGGCGGCGCTTGCTACGCTTTCTACAGGGACCATGCTGCGCGTGATCGTGCAGTTTTTGCATGTTCGGCTCCAACTATGCTCAACTAAATAGAGACAAGCAAAACACTGAGATGGGAAAAGGTTCATGTGGCATCCGGAAGTGGGAGTCAACTAGCGAAGAGGTCTTGGAGACGTCTTGGAGACGGAACTTCTGGCATGACTCTCCAACTCTCTAGCACCACCCCCGACCAACAAGATCAGGTGATTCCGGGGGCCGGAAGGAGTCAAAGGGGAATTGATATGGGAGCCTTTCAGATGAATTACTTTTGGTGGACCAACGCTCAAAAAAGTCTCCCAGACGCTACATCTAAGCCCTTTTTGTTCGCCTACCTTCACCACCTCCAAATCCACCAAAGGCAGGCGATTGGAGCGATCGCCATGGAGGTTTTCTCTCGCTTTTCAGGTCCGTCAGACTGAGATGCTGAGCGAGCCCGTGGCCGTTGGGAGAGCCCAGAAACGAAGCCCGTTGCGGGGCGGTCGGGTCAAAGGGCTGGAGGCCTCCCCCCAACTGGTGCCATATATGGGCCATGAAAAGCATCATTGTTTGGAGTGGGACCTCTAGGTTGCTGATGTGGAACAGTGGAGATGATCCCAAAAGGACAACCAAATAGATAGTGCATTCCCGGCCTTTGAATGTTAAGCACAGAATCGAACAGAGGTGGTTCAAGATGACCTGGGGCTGGGCTGGGAACCCCCCCACCAAGCCGTGGCTTGACATCCACATAGAGGAATCCGCTCATAGCCCGTCCCACCTCCTCCCATCCCAGTGCCACCTCCACCGAAACGGAGGTAGTTGGATGTAGGCCAGGAGCCCTCTGCTTTGCTAGCCCGTTGCTATACTTTGACCATGTCTATATGCTAAGAGAATCTATCAGACGGTTGTTCGCCGCAAAAAGAATGTGAAATCATGTGAAATGCTCCTAGTAATAACAAGAAGCTATTAGGAACAAGTGCATCGCTACTAGTAACAAGTGCCTTACTAGTAATAACAGGAAGCTATTATTAGTTAATTTAAACAGAGAAATCATGTGATTTCGGTGAACTGCTTTGTTCGTCGGCTCCTGCTTCGTCCTGCCAGGTCACCAGGGCGCCGGTGACTGTTGAGGACCGGGGGCAGCGAACGTGGAAGGTGTCGAGCGCCATAGAAGGAAGCAGGGAGGTGTATACGGCCTCCTTTTTGAAAGGAGGCCTAAGGGCTTAGACCTTCCTTTATTGCTATCCTTTTAATTGTTGTTCTTCATTAATTTAGGATTTCCTTTAGTGTTCAAAACAGTGTTCTGGCGTTCTTGATGTCGAAGCTTCTGGCCATGTCGTGGACTGAGATCTAAAAAAAGGCCGGTGGACACTGGCGCGAATCACTCACTAGAACCACAGAAACCCGGAGACATTGGCCATGGCGCGGTCGTGACCGGACCGACCAACACCGCAACGAGCCTCGCAGGCCGCCTCGTATGGGTGCACAGTACCGGGCTGGCGGCAGAGGGCGGCATAGGATCACCAGATCCAACCCTTCCCAGGGGTGGAAAATCCAAAAGGTGGAGAGAAACGTCAACCTTTTTATTTGAAAAATGCGAGAGAAATGGGAATGTGATGGAATGTGTTTTGCTCACATGGTGAGAGGCCCACACATGTAGACCATGTTCCCTTCTTTTTGCAGCCTGTGGTTTTGGAAAGACCCGACCGTTGTGATGTGGCGAGGATCCGGGGATTTTGTATGAGTAAATCCACTACACTGCTGAGGTAGTGCTGAGGCATCAGATGGGGAAGATACTTGACATTATGTGCACCTTGGATCACCTTATAAGGAAGTATAACTTAATTCGCGAACTCATGCCATCGATCTTCGGAACTGCCTGTAGAGGGATCGCCATGTTTTGATCTTAAATATATTGACACTAGCATTGATACAAAATAGCTGGTTGTGTTAGAACTCAAACAACATCATCAAGAAAGATGGTAGCATGATGTGTTTGGTGGAAGACAGGAAGCCTAGATGACCAGTTCATCGCTTTGGACAACCCTTTGACTACAGTCGCTTTTCTGGCCTGCGCATTTTGAAGCTTAAGGCTTTTCAATTTTGTTCATACTAAAGAGGAAGCTAAGCCACTCCTGCACACTGGAGCTGAGTCATACGAAAGCCACCGTCGCTGATGGACCTCATCCCGCACCCTCATGGATATATCCCACCCTATCCCAGGGCCTTGCCCGCCTGTGAACCGGACACCGAGTCATGCCCGCGGTGATTTTCCATGGCCACCCCGGTCACCGAGGTCTCCCTTGCGGGGCCGGGGGGCGCAGGGCTTGCGTCGCGCGGGGCAGATGAAGCGAAGCGCAGCGCAGCGAAGCGAAGTGCAGCGAAGCAGCGAGTCGCCCATCACGCGAAGAACATTAAAACAGTATCAATAAATACTATATGCAAAGCTTCGGAATGGCTTTTCAAGAAGGCATGATTGGTGACATGCATGACTGGAAGCTGTGGCCAGTTGCTAGGTACATGCGGCAAGAAGAGAGGAACACGAGAAAACGGTCAAACCAACATGATATCCTATCATAGACCGCTAAACATGCCAAAAAGGCAGCACCAAGCAGCCCAGCAGCCCACACTCCAACCCAAGTGAGGCGGTGCAAGCCCATTGTTGGCGGCTCAGTCGGGACGAGGGCAAGGTGTTCGCACTAGGTAAATCTACAGAAATACACGATATGTACTTACTTGATACATACGTAGGAACTCGTGTGAAAAACAGGCAGAAATTGGAGCCTGTCAGGCTCTCATTCAGGTTCCAGGTATATTTTTAAGTAATTCCTTCCATTTGGTCCACCCACTTGCTGAGACTCCTTCGGCTTGTTTCCTCCGCCTCTTGTTCAGGAGCCCCGTCCGTGTCGTCCAAAGGCACGGAGCGGCATCCGGCTGGGTGAGCTGGGTGTGACCCCCAAATGAGAGCAGCTAGGTGTTTCGGGTTGATGTTCCTTCAAACCCACGGGGATTTGCTCCAAAAACGGTTTTGGGATGGTTTTGGGATATTTCAGATGCATGTTTGATAACATGTCTTATAAGGACCGCTCACCGCAAGGACAGAAGGGGTCATGTGAGATGGCGAAGATGGTTACGTCATCTTAGATCCAGCTCCAGAAGCTTGGTCGGTTGACCATCCCAGTGCATCCCATGCAAAAAACTATATAAGGAACCAGGGATTCTAGGTCTATTAGTCTTGGGAACCACTGGTTGCCAGCTATAGTGAGGGTTGAAGAGGGTTGAAGAGGTTAGATCTAGTGAGCTTATGGCCCTAGGAGGAAACCTTGCAACAACGGCTGACCCTGCAACGCAGGGTGGATTGCGCTATTGAGTACGCAGGTCATTTTAATCCAAAGACATTTTCAGGGAGTGTGAGTCTATAAGGTGAGTTTTGACCCTTGCTTGCCTGCCGACTTGAAATAATATTGCATCAACCTTATACTGGAGATTCTTTTGTTTTGAGGGTGATGCAGGACTGTCCAACAGGAAAAGCACAACCAAAGGCCTACAATCCCTAAACCTTTGTTCCCCCAGAACCTGTTTTGGGTGGGTTTTCACCTCCAAGCCATGGTCAATGTTCAACATGGTTTCCCTTTTTCTTTCGAATCCCACGAACGCAATGATGCTCAAAACGATGCTTGGAGTACTACCCCCATGAACCTCGATGGGGTGGCCTCCGTGCCCCGCCAGTGTCACGCCCGAGCACTCGCCGGTCCGCACGGAACGCCCAGAGCCTTAAACGGCCTGGCCGTTTGGGGTTCGGGGGGGACAGCGTGGAACGTGGCCCTGGAGGCGGGCTTCACGGGCCAAAGGATCATAAAAGCAGATCTTGTGCACTTTGTTGCGTCTATAGTACTCATAGGTATGCTTTTAACATCGACTTTTAAAGATCTCAAGGGGAGGGGGAAAGGAAGTATGTGTTCTTGGCATAAACTCGCTTTGGGTTAAACTTTAAGCATCAAGCTAGCTCCAGGATTAGTTCCTCCCACCTTGGGGTGATAGAATTCTGGTCTAGTGGAGGCCCGAGGAACCAACGGTTTGCCAACAGCTTCATGGAATTGTGTGGATGATTTGTGCAGACATCTCAC